TGAATTTGAGGTGTTAATTGGGGAGGTCAGAGTAGAACATCAACAACCTAGCCAACTACAATTTGAGGATGTCAATGTTGAAGAAGTGAGACTAGAGCCAGCCAAGGACTTTGAGGATATAAATTTTGTTGACTCTAGTATCACTGATGTTGAGGATGTTGAAAGTCCTGAAGTTCATGTGTTTGAGCGCATTGGTCCACACTCCAAGCATTTTTCCACATTATGTTTGGATGATGATATGGAAATAGAGTCATCCGAACCAATTGAAGAGTCAAGGAATGAGGAACAAGGTGCATATATTCTGGAGTTCTTCTTGACAGAAAATCAGGATTACATACCTCATATAAAGGCCAAGGAGTGCAGAATACTACATTATTTCCTTGGGCCAGTTAGATTCGTTCCACCGCCCCATGACCATAATCATAAGCTTGAATCAAAACTTGGGGTTCAATTCATAAGCTCGAGGTGGAGGCAAGAAATGATTCACGTCGCACCGCGACGTTAAATCAAGCGCTTGTTGGGAGGCAACCCAGCTTTATTTTTTATATATATTTTTAATTTAGTTTTTTTTAATTATATTATTTTTGTAGTGTCGATTTTTGATTTTCTAGGAGCATGGAAAACAAAGCTATTGGAAGGATGCAACAGCAAACTAGATGGTTGGAACTAAGTGTGAGGTACCCGCACGAAGGACCAAGCCTGGGAGAAGTCTGAGTACCCCATGAGCTGCTAGTGCTTCGGCCTTTGGCCTAACAGGGAGTTTCTTTTACCCTGTTATAGTTATGATGTGCATTGGGGACAATGCATAATTTTAAGTGTAGGGTGAGGAGATTGTTTGGGTGACTTTCCATGCTAATTTAGTTGTGTTAGTTTAATTGATTTTTTTTTTACAAAAATAGAAAATATTGGACTTTTCCTGACGATGGATCTATTAGATAATTTTCTTGAGGGATTTAAGTCTAAAGAAAAAATAAATAAAAAGATTTTCTTTGTAGGTAGTGTAATAATTTCCCCTTGGTTTTTCTTTGTGCCGCGGTTCTTTTCCAAGGGTTTTATTTGAACCGAGTGTAGTTAGTTTTTCTTTTTTGGGAGTAGGAGCCATTGTGTTGTATTTTGAATTGAAGCAATATCTCTTGACTTTGTTATGCCTTGAGAATAGTGAGTACTTTGGTTGTGACGCTTAGGCTCAGTTTTTGACTCTTGTATAAGTACCTTAAATTTTATGATCTTAAATTTGCTTAACTGCTTTGACTAGAGTGTCTTGATGAAACCAATCCTGAGTGAGTTATGTGCCATGTGTGTGTAAGGATTTGTTATATTCTGTGCATTGTATTTGATGCCTAGAACTTGCCCTATGTGTTTGCAAAGCGAAATAGTAGTTTTGTTCAGTCTTGGAAGTGATATAGGCGTTTCTTTGTTGAGCCAGATATGTATATTTTACCCACCTAATTGTTATGTATCGTAGTTAACCCCGTTGAGCCTGTAACTTGTTTCTTTGGCAACCACATTACAAGCCTTACCCATTTGTTTGAATTAATCATCTATTTGAACCTTTTAACCTCTCATGAGCACTTGAATTATTATGAACTGTGTGGGGTGGTTGGTTTGGCTTTTGAGTGGAACGAATGAAATAAGGAGAAAGGTGCACTGTTTTGAAAAAAGTAAGAGCCACTTGAATTGAAACAAAAATAGTTGGATTGTTGTGGAAAAAAAATTCCTTGATAAGTGGTGGCTCTTGATGTAAGTGTGCTTAAAGAAGAATGGGGTAATATACATTGATGTGAAGGTGGAGTTTTGGTTGGACATAAGTATTGGGTTTGAATGTTAAAGTATATGTATTAAAGTGCTTAGGGAGGTGTAGTCACTCTTATATCTAAATGTATCCTACCCATCCCGTAGCCTACATTACAACCAAATAAAGTCCTAATTGATCCTAGATTGAATGAGCTCGATTAGTGGAGTAGTACACTACGGGCAAGCTTATGATGCATCTTTTGTGGCATATGAATGTTATTTCTGAGAGTGAGTGAATTCTTTCTATCTTGAGTTTCTAAGTGTTCTTAAATTTTATTGTGAGGAACTACTCTCTTTTGTTGTGTGAGGGCACTTGATTCATGAAGGAAAGATAATGTCAGTGACCTCTATGTTAGAGTAAGTAGGTGAGTTATGAATAATGCGTGGTACTTGTGAGTCAAATCTTGAGGTGAAGAGTTACGCTTTTGTGCTTAGTCTATTTTAAATACTCTTGGTGTGATGAGTTAGGAGAATTGTTTAAAAGGGTCGTGTCTATAACAAAGTGCAGTTTGATTGCACGAGGACGAGCAATGGTTTAAGTGTAGGGTGTTGATGATAGGCTATAATTACGAATTTTAGTCTCTTATGACACTCAAATTTACTGCACTTTAGTTGAGTTTGCGCTTTAATCGCTAGTGTTTTGCACTAACGGTGTGTATTATGCCTTGTAGGAGTGATTCCGAGCTATGTAGATGTTATGGAATGAATTCAAGTGATTTAGAGCTTTGAAATCTGAGTAAAAGCCCAAGGAATTAAGCCGGGATCGTATTCGGGGATCAACGGATGATAGAGCAACAAAACGAAGAACCGAGTAGGCATATTGCGTACTGTCTAGTAAAATGCACATAACTTTTGGATAAGAACTCCATTCGGGCTCCACAATATATGGTTGGAAAGCTAACTCAAAGGGCTATAAATTTCATGTTTTACGTTTTTCTAAATTCCAAAAGGAACAGGGTGAAAACTGCGGTCGAAACTGCAACCGCGGACCTGAGGCGGGCTGAGGCAGTATACTTGCCATATACCGCGGTCTTATCGCGGTTTACCGCGCGCGCGGCTGTCCAGACGTGAACAAATTGTCCTTTTTCGCATAGGAGAACGTATAATAGTTTGGGCCCGACCCTACTTGGTATATATACATGGAAAAACGGTATTTTAAACAAGGAGACCAATTTTTGATACACTTTTGACATAATTTAGACCTAAGGAGACTGGGGATTCGACCTAAGGAGTCAAGAACACACTGGGAGCAAGGCGGAGAATTCTTCAACGAGTTTTTTCTTCCTCTTCCTATTTTTCATTGTTGGTTATGATTTTTAGTATTGTAGTTTTACATACTATTATAAATAGCTAATTTGTTATCTAGGATTTTGATGGAACCTTTTGTAAGATAAATTCTTGTTATGTTTTATCCGTTGGATTTCTTTACTTGTTCAACTACGTATTTATTGTTGTTGATTGAATGGTCATCGATTGACTGTGCCTATTTATTATGTGTTGCTTGAGAAAGGATACATATTTAGGTAGTTGTTGAACAACATCACTCCTAATGTATGTGAGAGATCAATACGGAGGGTTTAAAGGCGGGATTAGAGATAACGAAACCTTGGTGCGATCGTAGTGAGCAGTGAAATAATGTCAGCTAGTATAGTTCGAGAGAATACATCTAGTAAATTATGGTAGTTGCTCGAGAGAGAATTACAACAACCAAAGTACTCACAATCGGTAGAGAATACATTGGCGAAATTGTAGGGAACATAGCTAGAAGGATTCCGACAATTAGGGAAATCATAACTCTAGACCTCCTTAATTTAGTCTCCAACCCTTTGTCTCGTTAGTTGATAATTTTACCGCGTTGTAGTATTTGCTAGTTAATTAGTTAGAAATATAAATCTCAATCTTTATAATTTAGAAAATTGTTCAATCTTGTCTTCTTAGTGATATTAAACAGATACAGCTAAGCGTTAGTTCTCTGTGGGATTCGACTCCGGACTTTTAGACCGGATTATATTTGCAGCGACCGCTTATCCTTTTTAGGACTAGAGTTGGGCGTGATCACATCACCTGTGAACACATGTGTGCACTATTGAAACTCACAAATTTCAACCAATTGTCGCATTCCAGCCCCCTCCAAAATGTCAGGGGCAAATGTACGGCCCCATAATACCTTATGATTTCTCAATTTCTCTTTCCCAGCACTCTGGGGATCATCAACTTTACCCTTCTTGGAGGAATTAGGTTCCTCATCGGTATCAAATTTCCTTTTAACAGACTTGCGAACACTTTTTCCCTTCTCACCATACTTCACAAACACTGTCTTTTCAGACAAATTTTTACCTAATTCTTCCATCACCTTGTCTCCAGATTCTTCCACTAACTTTTCACCAGAAATATGGTGGTCAACCTTGTTCAGATTCTCAGCCCTCTCAGAGGATCCCCATTTAGACTTGGAGATTGAGTGTTCTGAGGGCTTACGAGTCAAGGAACCAAGTTCCTCATCCACTTCATCATCCATAGTGACAACAAGTACTACTTTCTCATTCACAACCTTCCCATCTTTCACCAATTTCCTCCTCCTTTGGTTATCTTGGCTTTTCTTAAGAATAGACTCAAGAGCCTCCTTCTTTTGCAACCTAGTAGTAGGTCTTTTAGGAGTTGGCTCTTGAGTAACCACTGGTCTACGCCTAGCCAAGATAGCAATCGACATATCGTCGGAATCCTCTTCATTATCCCCATGTTCTTTTCCAGATGCAGATCTTATCTCAAGCATAATCACAGCCAGAGGCTCATCATAGAAATGAGGAGAGAGAGCAGGATCAGTACTGACCTGGGGTTCTTGAGAGGACCCATGAGTTGGATCCTCCAAGGAGGGATCAGGTCCTTCATTAGGTTCCCTAGTAGCACTGTCCGGTGCCGACGGTTCAATGAGCACAAGCTCCCTATTCTTCACTAAGATCTTAGTTTCTTCCCACCGAGACTTAGACACATTCTCACCTTCCTCAATAAGAACCCCTTCAGCAGCTATAGACGTATGTTTTCTGTTGCTTATTTTTCTTGTAACTCTAGGGAAACTCAGGAGAAGGAGGAGCATTACCTGTTGACTTAAGACCGGGAACTAACATTGTTGAGTCAGCATTGATAGGGTCAGCAGTTTGGTCTGCATTAGAGCCTTCTTCCATAGGAAGACTGGAGATCTCTTGATTTTCCTAATCTTCAACCATATCTGTTTCACCCATTTTTGCCGACGAGGCAGGAGGAGAGTTCGTAGCCACAAACGTCTTAGAAGTTGAAGTTTTGCGAATCCAATGAGAACCAGTACTAGATTGGGTAGGAGAGGAAATAGAGGGAGGTGGTGTCTCTGCCTTAGGGTTTGGGCTGGTGGTGGTGGGAGAGGGTTCTATGATTAGTGTGATTAGAGCTATAACGGGTAGAGACTCAGTGGGGGTGATACTTGGAGTATTTGGGGTTCCCTATTGTTCAGACATGGTGGGAAGTGGTGAGTTGGAAATGAGAGAATATTGGTTTGAAGAGAGACAAAAAGGGGAATTTTGGAGTTTCGATGTGAATAGTAGCGAGAGTGATGGTGAAGGGATATATTTAAGAGGGATGAGGGACCGTTAAGAAAAGGCGGCAGTTTTGGGAGTAGGGTCGCTTCCTAACGGGGGAGACTCTTGAGTTAAAAAAATAAACTGACACTATGATGACGTGGCACTGTTTCAACCGTTCAAAATCATGCATGAGAGAACAGAGAAACTACTAACCTGTGTCAGGAGAACCGGGTTCCCTGATGAATTTTTGCAAGTGTAAGCTTCACCCTTTAAACTAAAGTACAATACATTAGCTGCTTGTTTGCTCTGTAATCATCATGTGTGTCTATCTGTGATGGTATAGAAATGAGTTAGACGTTGCCAGAATACACTTTTTAGCTAATTATACCTGTACATTTCTTTCATAGCCAATAATTGAGGGACCAGGTTCTTAGTTGGGTTTTATCAACCCCAGAGCCAGGCGATTTCTTTCAAAATGGTTCTCTGCTCAGGGCTTTGGTAAATATGTCTGCAACCTGATCTTCTGTGCTGCAAAATTTCATACATATGAGCCCTTTTTCCACATTGTCTCTGAGGAAGTGGTTACGCACATCAATGTGCTTAGTTCTCTTATGTTGGACTGGATTCTTGGCCATTTTGAGTACACTGGCATTGTCACATAGCAAGGGCACGCACTCAAAGAACATACCGAAATCTTCCAGCTGCTGTTTAATCCATAACAATTGAGCACAACAAGATGCTGCAGCCACATATTCAGCTTCTGTGGTAGAGAGGGCCACTGAGTTTTGTTTTCTTGTACCCCATGAAATCATACATGAGCCCAGAAAATGTGCCATTCGAGAAGTGCTTTACATGTCTACTAGATACCCAGCATAGTCAGCATCCGCATATCCAACTAGTTTAAAATTGTCTCCTGAGGGATAGTAGAGAACCAGGTCCTGTGTTCCTTTGAGATATCTTAAGATTCTTTTGGCAGCTTTCAGATGAGATTCCTTTAGGTTAGATTGAAACCTGGCACAAAGACTCACACTAAAAACAATATCTGGTCTGCTTGTTGTGAGATACATAAGTGACCCTATGATACCTCTATACATGGTCTGATTTACAGGGAACCTGGTTCATCCATGTCTAGACGAGTAACTGTGGCAATGGGAGTGTCAATAATTTTTTATGTTTCCATGTCAAACCTCTTCAGCAGCTCTTTGATGTACTTCTGAGATTGCTTCACTTGTAGACCCAAGAAGAAGTTTAGTTTCTCCATCATACTTATTTCAAACTCACTTCCCATGAGTTTTGTAAATTCTTCACATTGGGAATCAATTGTTGCTCCAAAAATGATATCATCAACATAGACTTGCACAATGAGCAGGTTCCTTCCTCGTTTCTTAAGAAAGAGAGTGTTGTCGATTTTCCCTCTTGTAAAGCCATTTTCTAGAAGGAATTTTTACAACCTTTCATACCAAGCACGGGGAGCCTGCTTTAACCCATACAAAGCCTTGTCGAGTTTAAGAACGTGCTCAGGATGCTCATGATTCTCAAATCCAGGAGGCTGCTTGACGAAGACTTCTTCTTTTATAAAGCCATTCAGAAATGCACTTTTTGACATCCGTTTGGAACAATGTGAATTCCATATGTGATGCAAAGGCAATAAGAATTCCGATAGCCTCCATTCGAGCGACTGGGCAAAAGTTTCATCATAGTCAATCCCTTCTTCCTGATTGTGGCCTTGAACTACAAGCCTTGCCTTGTTTCTTGTTGTGTTTCCAAACTCATCATGTTTGTTCGTGAATACCCACCTGTTTCCTATAACGGTTCGATCTGCAGGTCGAGGAACCAAGTGTCGTACCTTATTCCTCTCAAATTTATGGAGTTCCTTCTGCATGGATGTAATCTCGTCTGTATTTTTTAATGCTTCTTTGATATTTTTAGGCTCTATTTGAGAGAGAAAAGCTGAGAAGGTAACTGGGTTTCTGGTCTTTGATCTTGTTTGAATTCCTGAATCAGGAGGAGTGATTATGTTATCGAGGGGGTGTGAACTTTTGTGTTTCTAGTTAGACACATGAACCTCTTTGTGAGAAGGTCCAGATATTTGTGCCTGTGAACCTTGATTGCTTCTGATCTCAGCGTGTGGGGTCCCTTGAACAACATCAACAACTCTATTTTCAGCTTCATTTGTTGTGATTGAGGGATCAGGTTCCTCTCCATCAGTTGGAGATATGATTGCACCATCCTCATTTGATTCCTCAACGTGGCTCATCATATCAATCTTTCCTTTTGCCATTTCAATGATTTCACCAGGAACAAGTGACTGTTCTCCGTCTTGGTCATTCTTATCATTCAAATCCTTTCCACGTGGGTCATGAGATTCATTGAAGATCTCATGAATGTTTTCCTCAACACATTGAGTTCTTTTTTTATATACTCTGTCGGCTTTATTTTGTGATGAATAGCCTAGAAAAATTCCCTCATCGCTTTAGGCATCGAATTTTCCAAGTTTTTCCTTCCCATTGCTGAGGACAAAACATTTGCAACCAAATGTTCTCAAATGTGTCAGCTTGGGCTTCCTTCCATTCAGCAGTTCATATGGCGTCGGTTTCAGAAGGGACCTGATCATGTACCTGTTCACCTAGCATGCAGTATTGACGGCTTCTGCCCAGAACCCTTTCGTAATGCCACTGTCAATCAACATTGTTCTTGCCATGTCTTCAAGCGTTCTGTTCTTCCTTTCCACAACACCATTTTGTTGAGGTGTTCATGGAGCTGAGAAGTTGTGAGTGATGCCATTTTTAGCACAGAATTCGTCGAATTTTGCATTGTCAAATTCTATCCCATGGTCAGACCTGATACATACTACATTAAGGCTCATCTTCACCTGGATCTTCTTCATGCCGCAAACACTTGAAAGGTTTCATCCGTGGTTCTAAGAAACAGAGTCCAAGTGAATCTGGAATAGTCGTCCACTATGACAAATATGTACCCCTTTCCTCCTCTACTTGGCACCCTCATAGGTCCACATAGATCCATATGGAGGAGATCAAGTGGCCTTGAGGTGCTAACTTCCTTTTTGGGCTTGAAAGAGATATGACTTGCTTTCCTTTTACACGTGCATCACAAACCCAGTGATCCTTGAAGCTTGACTTGGGCAGACCACGAACCAGGTCCTTTTTGACTAATTTGTTCAGCAACGTGAAACTTGCATGCCCCAGCCTTCTGTGCCATAGCTCAGTATTATCATCAACAACACTCAGACAGCAGATCCCTATTTTACAAGGACTCAAAGTTAGCCACATAGTTGTTTTTGTATCTTTTGGCCACTAACACTACTTCACCAGTTACAAGATTTGTGACTGTGCATATTTTGGATATAAATTCCACTTTGTTACCCTTGTCATAGATTTGGGAAATACTAGCAAGCTATACTTCAAGCCCTTCACATAGTACACATTTTCAATAGAGTGAGAAAGAGACTTCTCGATCCTTCTAACTACTAGAATGTATTTCTTTTTTTTTTATTTCCAAAGGATACACCCCCCCCCCCCCCTGAAGGGCTTTCAGTGAAAGAAAATTATTTGTACTTCTAGTCATGTGCTTCGAGCAGCCTCTATCTATGTACTATTGTTGGCTTCTCCCTTTCACTGTTCCCTGCACAAGAAAATTAAGGGTTAAATTTAGGAACCCAAACAAGTTTGGGTCCCTTGTAATTAGGAAATGGGTGAATTAGGGCTCTTTTGGTCCAAGAAGGGATTATATGTTCTTTATACGAAGGACCAGGTTCCCTAGCAGTAGTTACTTTTTCAGCAAAAACTTTGTTTTTCTGTTGAGATTGGAATCTGGCCTTACAGGTTTCCTTAAAGTGCCTAGTGTTACAACAGTGAGTGTATAGCCAATTGTCAGGTACAGTGACGTACTTGCTATGAGGGTCGTAGGGAGTCTTTTCCCTTTGAAATCGATTCCCTGCCTGTTTTCCCCATTCTTTGTGTACTTGGCAGTGATAGCATCAGAGGATCAGGTCCACTTGAGTGATTTTTCAAGTTCACTCTTGACTCTTCCTAGTTCTTACTGAAGTTGTTTATTTTTCTCAAGGTCAGCACACAGACTAGATTTCACTGATTTTAACTCATTTTCAAGCTTAAGATGTGCCTCACTTGCAACTTCCTTTCCCTTTTGACTGTTCCTAGGCCTACTCTCTATTTTAAGTTCCTCAATTATTTCCTTTAGATCTACCACCACTAGTAGTGGGTCATATCTCGCATGCTCAATGTTAGCAACTATCTCAATTAAAGCTTCTTTGTATTTTTTAACATACTCAATGGTCTCTTTTAGATCGACCACAACAAACGCTAGATCATCTCTCTCATGTTCTATGTTTGTAATTTTTTCAACTAAGGCATCTTTTTCTTTGTCCAGGCTCTTAATTTTTTCCTTTAAATCAACCACAACGATTACTAGATCATCTCTAGATTGTTCTTCTTCTCCTAGTTCCACAGTTAATGCATCTTTATCATTTATGAGACTGTGATAAGCATCAACTAAAACATTTGCCAAAGACATAAGTTTTTTTTTTGGAGAATAAGACTTTAGATTCCCTCTGTTGTTCCTTTGACTCTGAAGAGTTGAAATGTGTCCCCAACTAGAGACTTGTTGATCTTTAAGTTATTGAGGATGTGTATCAGGTTCCTTATCTGGTTCTTAACAGTAAATTTGTTAGATCATCAAAATATAACAGGGATACACATATAACCTATCACTTTTGCATTTGGCAAAAGCTCTGCTTGCAATTACAGAGTCCGTCTTATTATATGGAGTATCATTCTTATTTTTTTTTTCATTAATATTTGTCTCTGTAGTAGAATATATCAATACATTTGTTTAATACCACAACTATATCCCTTTCAAATCTCTTCTTTAGGCATTGGTTTTACGAGCTATACATTGTCTGGTTCATGATGCAATCTTGCTCGTGTGATTCATTAGTACTGTTTACAAATAAAAATATAGGATCGGTTTGTTTGTTGATGAACAAAGACAGATAGAACCAACAGGAGATAAAAGAAATTACCAGTCTACAACATAACACTTGCTCTCGCGCTAAAAACTCATAATCTGCAACAAACACATTGACCCGCACAAAGTCCAGCCTTTACTGGTAAACTTGTTAGAATAAGGAGGTTACAACACAACAATTACTACGCCTCTGTCTCAAACAAGTTGGGAGTCATAAATATGAATCATCATCATAGTCAGTTGAGGAGAGGTTGTAACATGATTTCTAAAAGAAATAAAAAGTGTTTCAATTAAACATAGGCAAATACTAAGTAAGTAATTTTGGAGAGATCAAGCTTTTCGTAAAAACAAATCCTTGATGATAAATATCAAATTGAGGCCATAACTCAAATGGACCTTTTGATGTCCAAAATCCAGTCCCCAAATATCAAAAATGTGTCTAGTAGTGTAGTACTTCACCATTTGCAAACCTATATTTCGGTATGCTTGAGAAAAATATATCATCTGGTATAGTATACATTTCAATCCAAGATTCCTTAACACCATAGTATTTCATAACTCATATCCTAAAAGTGCCTCCCTCCGTCTCATCAATACAATAAGAATAAGTGCAAATCATTCCTTCCAATATTGAAACGGCAGGTTGGATGTACCTGTGGCAACATTTTATCTGGCAACGGTATCTCTCCATACACCTCAGCTGAATACTAAATGAAATAATAGAATGATATTTTGAAAACCCGATCCAATGAAATGCCCCATGTACAAATGCCAAAGAGTCCATACCTGTGAGGTTAATCAATTTTTTGCCAAGATCCACTTTTGAGCGCAAGAAATTGGGTAGAATAAGGCTTATGCGCGTCAATAAAAAACTGTTAATGCCGTAAATAAAAAGTGAGGGATGTTTTGGTGGAAATTGTGTTAGGAAGTATTATTGATTCTCCTGTGGAGGGATTCCATAGGAAAAGTTGCTCAACTTCATCGCAAACCAAGATAAAGATAAGAGACAAGCCATAGGAACAACATAACATCACACAATACCTTGCTCTATATTTTACGGGGAAATCAAGCTTTTTTACATCAACTGAGGATAAAGAAGAACGGTAGAAGCAGATTGCACCATCCTTGGGACATGGTTAGCAAATAAGAAATTTTTGGGAATTCTGGTTATTCATGGCATGATTGAGATGCTTCGTCTTAAAGTAAGGATCGGAGATTAATGCCTCCCAAGATTTTGAAACACAACTGCATCGAAGACGATACCGCATGGGTAACCTGATAAGGATTTCCATAATTACTTACTCGTGGAAGTGAACTCCAGTGGCCTAGATAGGACAATGCAAGTGCTTTACAGGTTGAAGACCGTTTACCCTCAAAGTCGAATAACAATTGAATGGATACGTGGATTAAATTGATACAAAGCGATAAATTAAGTCACAATTGAAATAAAGTATGATAAAGTAAATTCAACCACACGAATTGAACAGTTACAGCCTTGGGAGGTGAGCCACCCTTAAACAGAATGCACTTCGATCAGTGTCAAGATAAAGTTGAATAAGAACATTAAAGAGAAAATAATAGTATATTGCTTCTGAATGATTGTTACAATATGTTTTGCAAGTGATCAGACCCCCTTTATATAGTAGGGGAATCATGCTTTAGGTACAATTCTATAAGAGGTAAAAGTCTCCTGATTTGCTGATTTTCTGGTTCCATATTGATACGTGTCGAGATTCCCACCGTAATATCCGACCGGTCACGGATATTTCGGCCTTCCGTTATTCTGGTCTTCTATCAATTATACCGATAATGTTTCCTCAAGCTTGTTTGGGGCCAGGGTCGATTCCGGCATCACAAACTCAATGTTCTCGAGACGGACATTCGAATCTCGAGTTCTAGCCCGTTGGGACCGGAGTCGATCTTCAGTCCCTCGTGCTCCAAGCCCGATCTGTCATATAGTAGACGAGCCCAGTTTCGACCGTATACGAATAGTCCCCTGCTTTTTAGGAGAGTAAACGATGAGAAACAATATGAGCTTCTGATTCTCACCTCGATACTCCGTGTCAAAAACGACAAAATGAACGAAACGTCTCGGCAGTCACGTCTTAATGGCATTAAATGCTTGTCAGGTTCTGGTTGGCCACTCCTGGATATGAACCATCATTTGGAAACTATAAGTACTCCCTTCTTCATTCATTCAACTTTACATCCAAACCTTCTCTATTCTTGTTCCTTATAAATCTTTAAATTTGCTAGCACTTGTATCCTGGTTTCTTGAGATCTTTGTAAGAACTTTCGCTCGTCTTCATTCCAAACCAATAAGTGTATCTCTTGAACTTCCACTTTTTCATCTTTACTCTCCATTAAAGGAAAATGGCAAAGACTTGAAAAATATTTCCCCAAAAAGAAACTACTTCTACTTCACGGCCGGCCGGCGAGGAACTAGCGGCGGAACCTTCTCTTAGAATGTTTATTCCTGGCGGGTGCTCGGTGACTGCCGATTTTAAGGTTGAAAAACCTTCAGCCGTATCGGGCTGGTGCATCTGCTCGATCACTGAAGAAATTCTCCCTATGGTCGAAAATGATTACAACTGGGTCGACAAAGACGTGGTGGTTCCCGGGACCGATGAAGATATCACTACCCACGTCGAGAGGTACCTAAGTATTACACGTATCCCTTTATGCTGGGTCGTTGGCCCAGTAATCATCCACTTCTATAAAAGGCACGAGGTGTGCCTTGGTCAGATCCACCCTTCGTTTTGGAGGATCGTCATTCTTCTCCGGTTCTTCGTGAACACGATCAACGAATTCTTTTTCACCATCGACCACCTTATGCGCCTATACAATCCCCGACTCTTTCGGGGGGGGGGGGGACTGATTAGGCTAGTAAAGCCCCATTCTTGAGCATCAATGAAGATGGGGATCGAGGTTGGCCAAGCGGTTTTGTCCGAGTGATGACCTCGGACCTGATCCTAGCCGAGTACATATCGTTCCATGAGAAGTGGAACACAAAACGTAAGTAAAGTTTTGTTTTTCCAATTTTTTTATTTTTTACTCTCTTTTCCTTCTTTCTTATTCGTGTTTGGTGGCGATGCAGCTATTTCCCGAGTCCCGAACACAGTCCCTCGACTCAAGTAGTGGGTCGAGGAAATTATCTCTCAAAATATTCTGAGCGCGCGTGGCGCAAACTTTCAAAAGGCCGGTGGGAGGCCCGTTCTCACGGTGAGATTCCTTTCTTGAGTGGACAAAACTTGGGTTTCCTTCGTGTTGCTGAGTTCTTTCTCATTTCGTTTCCCTTTGCAGGTCTTTCCAAGGATGTCGCAATGAGGCCTCCATCCGGTAATGAGGATTGCTCCGCCGATTCCCCTGCTCCGAGACAAGGTGAGGAGAAAAAGAGAAAAAAGGCTTCGAGTTCTCCGAACTTAGAGAAGAAAAAACCGAGGAGGAGGCTGGTGTGCAAATCCAAAGAAAGCACCAGTTCCCGAGTGCCATCATCGGACTCTCTCCACCGGTTGAAGGATGAATACGAAGAAGAAGAAGAAGAAGAAGCTTCTGAACTGGTGGCCCGCGTGGGGTCGCAGTTCGAGGGACAAGGGGCCTCCGAACCAGTGAGTGGTGAGACTGAATTGCCTCAACTCAGGGAGGCCAATGAGGGGGCCATGGCCGAGGCTTCCGAACTAGAGGGAGGCGAGACTGTTTTGCCTCAAGTTAGGGAGGCCGACAAGGAGGCCATGGCCGATGCTTCCCGGGCAGTGGGCAACATCCCGAAGGACGTACTCGGTGTGATAGATCTCTCCGAGTCACCTTCGTTCATTGAGTCCATGTTCAACGAGGCTTAGATGTTGAAAGGATGCCCCAACGAGGGCCCCCAAAGGGTGGTAGATCCCTTTCACAACTTTTTTGATGGCGTAGACTCTACCGCCATGGAGGACGTCACCGGGTTAGGTGACTTACTGGTGCTAAGGTAGAGCCCATCTTTCGGGGACAAACGGGCGTTCCTCAAGTCCGAAACTAGTCAACCGGTTCCCAGCCCCGAGTGTGAATCCTGACCGGAAGCGGTCGATCATCATGTCAAAGACGCCCGAGTTCTCTCTGCCCCTGTAGGGGTGGCCAGTTACCTTCAGTGCTTGGTGACCGAGGAAGACCAAACCAAAATGAACGAGGTGGAAGCGCCCTACTTGTTCAATGAAACTCAACAAGCGTTAAAACAGGTAACTTTAGATACCTCTTTCTAATTTGTTCTTAGATTAATTTATAGATGATCATAACCTTTCTCTTTGTGATTGTAGGCCTCGGTGCTTCACCATGAGACTTTTCTCCGGTATCGAGAAGAGTTAAACCAATATGAGGTCGAGATTCGAGGGCTCACTGAGAAGAGGGATTCTTACAAACTTCTCAGTGAGCAACGTGAGGGGAAGGTTAAGAACCTCCAAGCGGAGCTAGAGGTGGCTCGGAAAGAGCATCCCGACTTGGTCGAGCAGGTAAGAAGCATATTTGAGGTTAGTGACAATGAGACAGACACGGTGGCTAACGGTCCAAACCTGCAGGTCCAAAAGAAGCTTGATAAGATCGAGCAATTCCGGGCAGAGGTGGATGCGGTAAAGGTCGAGGTTGAAGAGTGGAAAAGCAACATGGACCGCTTGGCCTTGGAAAAGAAGACTGCCCGGGCACAATTGGTTTTGGCTGAAGTCCAGCTTCGAGTTGTAAAGTAAAAGGCCTTGGTGCAGGCAAAAAAGATCGAGAAGCTCCAGTCCCAGCTAAATTCGGTCGTCTCCGATCTAGAAAATCTAGCCAATAAGCTTGAGACGGCCAAGTCGAAGGCCAATGCCGAGGCGGCCCAGGTTTGAGCATAGGATATCGTCGAGCACGCGAAGCGGCAATCCCAAAGGGAGAATCTCAAGGAAATTCATGCTCGGGTTTTTGACTTATCGGCCGAAATTGAGAGTGCCAAGGAGCTCGAAGTCGAGGCCAAAAAGTTGGCTTATCCCGAGGATGATGATGACTTCGAGGGTTTAAGCGGATCCGAGTGCGGAGGAGACCCCGAGGGTGATGAGGCGGCCCTTGGAGAAGACCAGGCCACTTAGGCTCTTTGCAAATGTTTTTTTTTATTTTTCGTATTACCTTTTAGTCGAGGCCTTTTGACCTTTGTAAAAATTTGTATCGAGGCCGTTTTGGCCCTTGTAAAAATCTTTTGATATGTATATAAAGCCTTTTTCCCTTTAGTATATTTTTGAGATTTTTCCTTTGCTTTGTCATTTATATTGCAAAGATTAAAATTCCTAAGCATGAAATAGTTAGGTTATGCTCGGAGGTTCGAACAAGCCTTGACCTCAACATTATTTTGTTTTTAAGGCACTGTGGGGGTTCGATGTGATCGAAATTTTCTCAAAAAGTACTTATCCTTTTTTTAGGTCATAGTTTGTCGAGGGTAGCTTTTAGAACCGGTGAAGAAATTTTAAGGCCTTGTTGTTTTGTTACGGGTCTCAGACGTCTTCGAGCGGTGTTAATATAGCCTTAGCCCTTTTAGTTCGTGTGTTGCCCAGTGGGCTCGCTATCCCGAGTTATCCGAGCTTGCTTAAAATTTGATCGCCTAATAGGTCTTATGCCCCCGAGCTTTGATAGCTCGGACCTTCCGAGCTTGTTTTCGGATGGCAATCCCGGAGTGAGAGTGATTGTTTGAACTCGGATTAAGGTGGCCCTTGGGCTCGATACCTTTAAGGGATCAGATGTAGGAAATTCCTTGAGAAATGTAAGAAAAAATTAAAGGATAAGATATTTGTCCGCAAGGAAGAGACTTTTTTTATTCTTGTGCATAATAGTTATACATGTGTACATGCTTTGTGCCAGGGTTCGAGCAGTCTATGCCGGCATGGTTTATTTGTCCGTTTTGCCCTTACAATAAATCCTATCGATCGAGACCCATCAATCATGAAGTTTCTTTTCTTGCTAAAGTCAATATCCGAGGGTAATGTCCCCCAATATTCGAGGTTGATAATAGAGAGAAGCCTTAGATACTATTGATGCGATATTTGATACCGATTCATGACCGGCCTTCTATTCCAAGTTAGCATGATCCATTGTTGCCTCGTTAAAAACCTTGCTGGAAAACCCATTTGAGATAAAACCGGTTCAAGGAAAAAAGAGTGCAATGCGTGCTTTCAGACCTAATATTTTATACCGTTCGTTGTTGGCTAACTGCAAGCGTTAGTTCAAAATGTAAATAAAAGAAAGAATGGGCCCGTACCTTAGCAGTAATATCATTTCAAGTGAGTTATATTCCAATTGTTCGGTAGTTGCTTGCCGTTCATTGTTCCGAGTTTGTAGGATCCATTTCTGGTGATCTCGATAATTTGGTACGGTCCTTTCTAGTTCGGCCCCATCTTTCCTTCGTTTGGGTTTCAGGTGTTTAGTGTGACCTTCCTTAATACTAAGTCCCCGACATTGAAGTGTCGAAGGTTGGCCCTTCGGTTGTAATATCTCTCGATCTGTTTTTTTTGGGCGGCCAACCGAACAAGGGTGGCTTCGCGCCTCTCGTCTAATAGCTCAAGGCTCATATTCATGGCCTCGTCGTTCGATTCTTTGGTCGCGTATCGAAACCTAAGACTTGGTTATCTGAATTCAACCAGTATTAGGGCTTCAGCACCGTAGACCAGCGAAAATGGGCTGGCCTCAGTGCTGGATTTTGAGGTCGTTTGGTATGACCATAAGACTTCGGGCAGGAATTCCTTCCATTTTCCTTTGGCATCGGTTAACCTCATTTTGAGGTTTTGGATTATGGTCTTGTTGGTGGATTCTGCTTATCTGTTCCCATTAGGGTGGTACGGTGTTGATAGGATCCTTTTGATCTTGTGATCTTCAAGAAATTTGGTTACTTCGCTACCGATGAATTTTTTTCCCATTGTCGCTCACGATCTCGACTGGAATTGCGAACCGGCATATGATATGGTCCCAAATGAAATCTATGACTTCCTTCTCCCCAACCTTCGCGTATGCCTGGGCTTCCACCCACTTAGAGAAATAGTTAGTCATAAACAATATAAAATTGAGCATTATTGGGTCCCCATGGAAAAGGACCAATGATGTCCATTCCCCACTTCATGAACGGCCACGGTGATAAAACCGAATGCAAGAGCTCCCCGGGTTGATGAATCATCGGGGCGTGTCTTTGGCATCCATCACATTTTCGTATGAACTCCTTTGCATCCTTTTCCATGTTGATCCAGTAGTAACCGGCTCTGATTACCTTTCGAACTAGTGATTCGGTATCCCCCAGTCCTAGACATATCGCTAGTGGGCCATTGAACATTCTTCTAAATAAGGTTCCATCTTCGGACAAGCTAAACTGGGCTGCCTTCGTACGCAGGGCCCTCGATTCTTTTGGATCCGAGGGCAATTTTCTAGTCTTCAGATATTCTACATATTTGTTTATCCAATCCCAAGTCAGGCTTGTAGAGTTTATCTTGGCATGACCTTCTTCCACCACCGATCTCATGAGTTGCACGACCTCCCCAGAGTTGAGCTCATCGTCCTAGACCGATGACCCTAAGTTAGCAAGGGCATCGGCCTCACTGTTTTGATCCCAGGGCACTTGTTGTAAAGTCCACTCCTTGAACCGATGTAACGTTACCTGCAACTTATCCATGTACCTTTGCATACGTTCTTCTCTGACCATGAATGTTCCATTAACTTGGTCGCCTAAGCAGACGATGGACGAGACTCTGGAAGAGTGGCTTTCTGCTGAGGTTTACCACGAGGAGGGAGTCTCACTTAGCTTCGATCACCTCCGCCCCCAAGCTTTTGGCTAGTTTGAGACCTGCAATCATGGCCTCATATTCGGCCTCGTTGTTAGTCAATTTCACAGTCCTAACAGATTGTCTAACTACATTGCATGTCAGTGGCTTCAATACGATGCCAAGTCCGAACCCTTTTGTGTTCGAGGCGCCGTCCATAAAAAGGGTCCAGATTCTTGAGGTCATCCCCGAGTTTACCAACAACTCTCGTTCGACCTGGGGTATTAGGGCCGGCGTAAAGTCAGCCACGAAATCTGCCAAAATTTGAGATTTAATGGCTGTCTGGGGTCGATATTCGATATCGTACCCGCTGATTTCCACAACCCATTTGGCCAATCGTCTAGAAGTTTGGGTTTATGCATTATATTTTGCAATGGGTAAGTAGTCATGACACATATAGGATGGCACTGAAAATATGGTTTCAGTTTCCTAGAGGGGTTTAGCAAAGCGAGCGCCAACTTTTCTAGGTGAGGATATCTAGTTTTAGCCTTACTTAGAGTTCTACTAACATAGTAAATTGGAAATTGCATACCTTGTTCTTCCCAAACCAGGACTCCACTTACCGCTATCTCTAATACTGCCAAGTACAGGTATAGTTGTTCGTCTGCCTCTGGTGTCTGAAGCAGTGGAGGGCTCGATAGATATCGCTTGAGTTCCTCCAAGGCCAGTTGGCATTTCGGGGTCCACAAAAAGTTGTTCTTCTTCTTTAGCAGCAAGAAGAATCGGTGGCTCTTATCGAAAGAGCTAGAGATGAATCGCCCCAGGGTGGCTATGCGTCCGGTTAATCTTTGTACAGCCTTCACGCTGTCCACAACTGTGATATATTCGATAGTTTTGATCTTGTCGGGGTTGATCTCGATTCCTCGGTTAGATACCATGAACCCAAGTAATTTACCTGATCCGACTCCGAATGCACATTTCTCCACGTTCAGCATCATATTGTACTACTTCAATATGCTTAAGGTCTCCTGCAAATGTTTTAAATGGTCTTCTGCTCGCAGGGACTTAACCAACATATCGTCAATGTGAACTTCCATCAATTTTCCTATTTGTTCCTCAAACATCCGGTTTACTAGGCATTGATAAGTGGCACCGGAGTTTTTAATCTGAATGGCATCACGTTATAGTAGTATGTGCCGTACTTAGTAATGAATGAGGTTTGATCATCCGGGTCCATCCGTATTTGGTTGTACCCAGAATAGGCATCGAGAAAACTGGGGATCTCGTGGCCGGCCATGGCATAGATCATGCGATTGATGTTGGGCAAAGGGAAAGAGTCCTTAGGACACGCATTATGCAAATCCTTATAGTCTACACACATTCTTAATTTGTTCCCTTTTTTAGGGATTACTACTATGTTTGCTAACCAATCCGGGTATTCAACCTCCCGAATGGACCCTATTTTTAGGAGTTTAGATACCTCGTCCTTGATGAAAGCATGTTTGACCTCGGACTGAGGTCTCCTCTTCTGCTTGACTGGATGGAATTTCAGGTCTATGCTTAGCTTCTGAGTGGTTGTATCCGGTGGGATCCCTGCCATATCAATATGGGACCAACGAAACAATCTATGTTAGCTATAAGAAATTGTATGAGTTTTTTCCTGAGCTCGAGAGTTAATCCCGTGCCAGGTATGCCTTCCGATCGGGTAGATGTTCGATCAATATGACATGTTCCAGCTCCTCGACCGTTGATTTAGTAGCGTCGGAATCATCAGGGTTTATAAAAGATCTGGGAACCCCGTAATCATCATCTTCATCAGTCCCCTGTTTATCCAGTTGGGTCGTGGACAGTGTCGGTGATTGCTATTTAGCATGTTTCTTTGTACCCGAACTAGGTTCCTTTGAATTGCGAGTGTTGATATCGGAATCACTTCTTCGATCATAAACGTTCTTTTGGGGCTGGTTGTTCTCCGTAGATTGTTTTAATCCCTTCTGGCGTTGGGAACTTTAACACTTGGTGAAGAGTCGAGGGCACTACCCTCATGTTGTGGATCCACGGTCCCCCGAACAAGGAGTTGTACCTCATGTCTCCTTCGATCACATAAAACTTGGTTTCCTGGATGGTCCCGATGGCATTCACTGGTTATCTCTCCCTTAGTGGTTTCATATGCCATGTTGAACCCGTTTAGAAGCCATGTTGAACTCGTTTAGAACTCGAACTGCAGGCACGATTTAATCTTGTAGGCCGAGCTGTTCTACTAACCTCGATCGGATAATGTTGTCCGAGCTACCTAGATCAATTAACACACGATTAACTCAAGATTTATTTATGAGTACAGATATTACCAGTGCATC